CCCTCCTCACAACAGACACCCTGTGAGGTAGGCGGGGCTGAGAGAGCTCTCTCAAGAACTGCCCTCAAAAATAGTTCTAACAGAACTATGGCTTGCCCAAGGTTATCCAGCAGCTGCAAGTGGAGGAGTGGGGAATCAAACCTGGTTCTTCCAGATTAGAATCCACGCACTTAACCACTACACCAAGCTGGCACTCAATCAAGCTTCATGGGATAAAGGGGGGATTCCTCTAAGCTGTGGAGTCCTGTGAGCAAAAAATCTACTTTGTGAGCTACTGGTATTAAAGTTGTGAGCAAGCGATTTGGCTACTGCATACATTAGTTTGCTCTGGAGCCATCTTTCCTGAGCTAAGACAAAAATGTGTGAGACGGAGACTAAAAAACTGTGAGCTAGCTCACACTAACTCAGCTTAGAAGGAACACTGGTCATGACTGCTACTATAAGTCATTTGAGAAATATGTAGTCAGTCAAAGGAAGAGACCATTACGATAGGAGAAGGTAAGTATTTCAGGAAGTATTGGCTTAGAGAATTTATACCCCCCCCCCTTTCTAGAAAAAAAGTACTCAAGGCTGCTTATAGAAAGAACATATAAAATTAAAACCACAGTGTTTTTAAAAGATGCTTTTAGATGCATTTATAATGAAAATGTTATTCCAAAGAGCAGATTAAAAATCAAAAACCAACATAAGCTGACAGCAGTGTCTGAAGTAGAATAAAAACATTTCCTTCATATTAGCAGTATAAAATCCATATAAATAAACTTAAAGACCCTCCCAATTCATTATTTGCCGTAAACAAATATTGAAGGCCTTCTCGAAAAGAGATTTTATTGCAAAGCCAGGGCTATTTTTGGGCAGGAACGCACAGGAACGGAGTTCCGGCTGGCTCCCAAGTTGGCCACGCCCAGCAGGAACTCATTAGCATAATAGGCCACACCCAACAGCAGAAACTCATTAGGATTGGCTACATTAGGGGTGTGTGGCCTAACATGCAAAGGAGTTCCTGCTACAAAAAAAAGCCCTGGGTTTTGACAACAAACAAGGTAAACAGAATAACAAGCAAAAGGTGGGTGTGGCTGGATAACCACACTTCTGGTAACATGGAGGTGTGGCCTAATGTGCTAATGAGCTGTGCTGTCAGGGGTGTGGCCCAATATGCTAATGAGTTCCTACTGTTGGGTGTGGCCTATTCTGCTAATGAGTTCCTGCTGGGCTTTTTCTACAAAAAGAGCAAAGCCATACTGGAACAGATAGGGAGTTCCATAACCTGAGGGCCACATTTTTAACCGGCTTCCTATTGTGATTATTTGAGAGCCTGTGGGCCACCATTGGACCATTGCAGCACCTGGGCACAGAAAGTATTTCAGGTATTTTGGGCCTGAGTTGTCAAGATCAAAAGCAGCCCTTTGCCTGAGTCCAGAAGCAAATCTGAAGCAGTGCTGTTGGAGTAAGGGCGAGGTGCTCAACTTGTTTTGACAGGTGCTCATTTGCCAGAATTCTAGTCATCACACTTTGTAACAAATGTAGATTTCCAAACTGTTTTAAAGAGAGCTCAGTAGACCACATATTGGCAATCATCCACTAAAGTCAGGTGCCTTCTGAGTTACTCAAGATGATCAGTATTCTGTGGAAGAAACAACCATGGAAATTAAGATCAAGTAAGCGGGTTGGATTCTGCCACTCATTAGAGAGTCAGTCCTTGTCGCAGCCATTCAGAAGCAGAACAATTAACATAAAATCATATCTCAACATACATCGTTCACTCCTAGTACATCGTAACAGTGAAAAAAGTTAGGGGTTATCAAAGGAAACTACACACAAGACATTATCTCAACCTATATTTCCATAGCAGAAGACAAAATTTTAGCTACCTGTAAACCAATGTTCCCTCTAAGCTGTGGAGTCTTATAGCAAAAATTCTACTTTGTGAGCTACTGGCATTAAAGTTGTGAGCGAGCAATTTGGCTACTGCATAAATTAGTTTGCTCTGGAGCCATCCTTCCTGAGCTAAGACAAAAATGTGTGAGCCGGAGGCTAAGAAACTGTGATCCAGCTCACACTAACTCAGTTTAGAGGGAACACTGCTGTCAGCTCCAACCAATAAAATCTGAAGAGTCTTCTGCTCAGAAGATAGTTTTATCTACCTTGCTGGGTTCCAGTAAATCCAAGTGTACTTGACTATAAAATTTATAATGAAACTGTACTTGGGCCAGTGATTCAATCACATCCAGGACAAAATCTATGACCAGCTGGAATATTTTTTGTAACTTCCTGTCATCGACGCCGATGGAAAACGTTAAATCTGGCCAGTGTGAAAGCACGGCAAGATCTTGGAATGATTTCCAAGAGGAAGGTCTAAAGAGACTGGGACTTTTCAGTTTGGAAAAACGGACTAAGATGGGCATGATAGAGGCTTATAAAATTATGCATGAGACCGAGAGAGTGGATAGTGAGAACTTTCTACACTAGAATTTAGTGGCATCCAATTAAGTCGATGGGCAGTAGATTAAGAAAGGACAAAAGGAAGTACTGCTTTACTCAATGAGTGATTAACATGGGGAATAGCTGCCAGAGGATCTAGTGATTACCACAAGCTCAGATGGCTTTAAAAGGGAATTAGACACATTCATGGAGGACAGATTCATCAAAGGCTACTAGCCATGGTGATTAAAGGGATTCTCCACATTCTCTCTCTATGCCCTGTTTGCTGGTCCTCTAGGTCAACTGGTGGCCACTGTGTGAGACAGGATGCTGTGACTAGATGGACCACTGGTCTGATTTGATTAAAGAAGGTCACATGGTGTGGAGTGTGCACCTGTTACAATATGCCTAGTGCTATGTCTTGTGCCAGTGGGAACACATGACAAGTTATGGTCAAGTTAACAGTGTATGAGCTAGTTATGATGACATTCCTGTGTTTCTGCAGGCATAAGAACTCTTGCATGAGGGATCCAACAACCCAGTACAGGTACATAGTAAAATTGGCAAGCATCACCTACCTACTTAGCTGTTTAACAAAGGAAGCGGAGCATTTTGGTAATTGGAAAATCTCGACTTGCCTCAAACATGGGATATCTGTATATATGTAGAGAAAGGATTTTAAAAAATTGCTGTAGCACACACAACTTCAACTTGCGGTCCTACCAGCAAACAGGGCACAGAGATGGAGGCCTTACCATGATGTTGCCTCCTGACACTGGTATTCAGAAAAGAAGTTAAGCTGTAGTACTTTAATCGCCCTGACCTGGGTAGGCCAGGCTAGCTCGATGAGAGGTGATGAGAGAGAGGTCCTACGACTGATAGACAAAAACTGATAAATCAGCCAGTATCATAATGCCCCTGTATAAATCGATGGTGCAACTTCATTTGGAATACTGTGTACAGTTCTGGTCACCGCACCTCAAAAAGGATATTATAGCATTGGAAAAAGTGCAGAGAAGGGCAACTAGAATGATAAAAGGATTGGAACACTTTCCCTATGAAGAAAGGTTAAAGCGCTTCGGGCTCTTTAGCTTGGAGAGATGACGACTGAGGGGTGACATGATCGAGGTTTATAAGATTATGCATGGGAAAGAGCAGGTAGAGAAAGAGGTACTTTTCTCCCTTTCTCACAAGAACTTGTGGGCACTCAATGAAATTTCTGAGCAGTCGGGTTAGAACAGATAAAAGGAAGTACTTCTTCACCCAAAGAGTGATTAACACATGGAATTCACTGCCACAGGAAGTGGTGGTGGCTACAAGCATGGACAGCTTCAATTCTAGTGTCCTGGCCCCACTGGTGGACCTCTTGATTGCACCTGGTATTTTTGGCCACTGTGTGACAGAGTTTTGGACTGGATGGGCCATTGGCCTGATCCAGCATTGGCTTATCTTATGTTTTTACTATCATATCTCAGAAGCTAAGCATGGTTGGCAACCTCCAAGGAATACCAGGATCGTGACACAGAGGCAGGCAATAGTAAGCAACATCTGAAATGTCTCTTGCCCTAACAACAAGTTTACCTTGCCACCTAGTGGTGCATAATGTTTTAAAAAGAGCTAGAACTTCTGCCTGCCAGACAATCTTAGGATCTCCTGGTTATTCTACACACAATGCCATACAATAATTATTAATTATTATTAATAGTAGTTGTAGTTTATGAGCCTGCTGAATGCTTTTTCAGTGTTTAATTTTTTTAACAACAACATCATCATATAACTGTCACAGTCAACACAGCTTTCCGATCTAAACACCTAAGAAGTCTCAGAGTGGGGAAATTGCAGAGTCTCCTGCAACACACAGTCCCAGAGCTCTAGAAACTAGGCTTTAATGGCCTTTGGGCTGTACCATACTAATTTCTGTGCATGGATTTTCTCTCCATGAATCAGGATGAATATACACAGAATAGAATAATTTGACATGATTACAAGTAATGGACAATCTTGCATTAAAATGGGGTTGGCTCACAAGAATTGTACCACACTCTGTAAATCCAAGGGCATAATGTAATCTCTGAAATATGTAGGAACTGAGGTTCAGATATTTGTTTATTTTAGAAAAAGGTTTGAATGTCACTTGCACCATCAGCCTGGACCTTATTTTTTCATCTCCTGGGGCCACTCCTGCCAATGAGTGAGCCTGGAATTTAACAAAATAATGAACAGAATTTCCATACTTTATATTGCGTTAGATGTTAACCAATCCCCCTTTAAAAGCATCATTCTAAGTTTAATGGAATGGCTTTTTTGGTAGTGTCAAAACTGGAAGAACAGCCAACTATGCTCCACAGCATTAAGCAAATATGTATGATGAGAAGCAGTACTGATTGCATCCATGTGGCATCAAAATGCATGACGCTGAAGACAGTGTTCTCAAAGACAGGCTAAACTGAGGACTGAGCTACCAACCTCAAGACTATGTTGCTGGCTTCCAATGGCTAGAGAGGCATCAGAAGACCAACCATGCCTTCAGTGCAAGCACCTTAGCAGTCCAAAGCTGTTCCACTGCTGGTTCTTCGGGCTCAGCTGACAATGGTGTAGTAGTTGGAAAAAAGCTCTTCTCCTGGCCCAATGTCTTTGAGAGCAACCAAAACTACAACTCTCAATGGCCTGCAAAAAACACATTTCAGGGATAGGGGGCATTTTTGTGAGACTGTCATGCACATGCATTTATATTTGCAAATAATGTACCAGGTAAAACTAAGTGATTACAATTAAGATCCTCACCTCTGTACTTCATGGCTGTAGCTTACGTTGGGAAGATACTGTTTAAATTCTATAGGAAAACATTCGGGTATATCAAATTCCTGGTAGCATACATTGGCTGCTTTGTCTGATAAGAAAAGGGGGGAAGGGTTTAAAAGGATGTGAGATACATTGACTGAGGGTCGCTCAAGTATGAATGTGTTCTTTAGCTCTACTGAAGGAAATCATTGATACTATTTCTTGATAATCCTAACAAGAGGTCTGTTCAGACATCCTAGAACTCATCACATGGAGCTTCCCCATGGACACACAATGACATGGAGAAAGTAACATTTAACCAGGCATGACTGTACTGAGGATACCATTAGCTAAACACTCACATAATTTGTAGCTAGGAAGAGACACTGCTGGGCAATGTTCCCTCTAAGCTGTGAAGTCTTGCGAGCAAAAATTCTACTCGGTGAGCTAATGGAATTAAAGTTACGAGTGACCGATTTGGCTACTGCATAAATTAGTTTGCTCTGGAGCCATTCTTCCTGAGCTAAGACAAAAATGTGTCAGCCAGAGGCTAAAAACATGTGAGCTAGCTTAGAGGGAACACTGCTGCTGGGTCAGATGTCACCTTCTTCATGGTTACATCCACAGAATCCTCCTTGTAGAGGATTGCAGTGCCTCTGAACTAGGTGCAGGAAACAGCTCTGTCTGCCTTCCTACCTGCTGAGCAGTTGTTGACATATTGTCCTACAGCCAGTGGATTCTGCGCAGCGGCTACAATCCAAGAGACATCATTCATTTTTAAGGGGCCAAGTTGATCTCTCTTGCTGCATGACCTGAAAGAATTTGCAGTATTAACCAAAAGAATGCATCCCTGATTTGAGTCTTTGTGTAATCATATGACCCTTTTGTAAATAAACATGTGCCCTGCAGCACACACATGCAGACAGTTTAATGCATTCCTTAGCAACTCAATAATTCTACGTAACATTCACAAGCAGCACACAGGATTTGGGCACTTGGACAAATTCTGAACCACGTACCAAAAATAATTTGTTGTTGTATATGGTGGGCCACCAGTACCACACTGAACTGTGAAAATAGGGGGTGTGATCTGGCAGACTACACAATATATGGCTCGTGAGCTGTGAGCAACTTGGTCAGTCACCAGTTATGACAGCCTCAGCAAATGTTCCACTTAAAGCAAAGTACTTTCTGTTTTGTAACAAAAAAGGAAGGAACAGTCCCTGCCGTCTCTTAAGTGCTGACATGGATTTATTTGGAGGAAAATATTCCAGATTCAGGTAACACTGCGAACCTACTAAATGTATTATATATGTGAAATGGTGACTCAATATCCATCTATTAAGCTAGAGAGTTCTTCTCAAACCAACCTCCCTGACCTGGATAGCCCAGGCTACCCCAATCTTGTCAGATCTCAGAAGCGAAGCAGTCAGTCCTGGCTAGTATTTGGAAGGGAGACTTCCAAGGAATACCAGGGCCCTGACACAGAGGCAGGCAATGGCCAACCACCTCTGAACGTCTCTTGCCTTGAAAACCCTACAGGGTTGCCATAAGTCAGCTGTGACTTGACGGCACTTTCCACCACCACATCAGCAACCGGTGCATTGTATCATTAGCAAGGATGTGCAGAAACAAGCATTCTGCACACCTGCAAACTTCAGCTCTACGAGAACATTTGAATCAGCTCTAGGGAATAAGTGGTATAGCCAACCTTGGACCTTATTTACTACCCAGCTCAAATTTGTACATCAGAGAATAGCAGCCAAATTATGTTAATTTTGTTAATTTTGAATTTATAAAACAGTGGGCTATTCTTTGGGAGGGGGAGAAAGCTGCTAATCAGGCTTTCATCCCATTGCCAGGAGCTCTGCCAACTTCTCTCTGTCCCTTACATACATACATCATGTATACTAAATTACAGAGTAATGTTTAGTTCTCAAGGCAGCTTACAACATCAGTACAAAACCAAACCAAAACAACAGTCCATAACAAAACACAGCCAAGAAGACAGCCAAAACAGAACCAACTGGAAAAAAGCAGCACAATTAAGATGGTATTTATCTGATGCCTAAAACCATTAAGGCAGATGCCAAATGAATGGGTATTATGATCAGAATTTCAGAAACGAGGCACAGTGTCAGAAAAGGATCGATTTCTTATCTTTGAAGTTGGTGGCAGACCCAGGGCCTTACTATACAACTATTTGCACATTCTACCAGTCAGGGGTATGCAACTGCACAAGAGTATGTTCTAGATTGCCCCAACTGCATAACAGCCACAAACCACAGAGAAACACTGACTCTCTGAACAGTTTGAATCCACCATTTCTATAGAGAAACTGAGTCAGATAAATCCAAGGTCTCTTAAGTTAGAGCATGACTATCTTGTTCAAGTTATAGAAATATTTGGACAGGGACAAAAAAATTGGAAATTAGATGTCATTTATATATCATTAATGCGGGCAAGAGACCACATTAATGATAATATATTAGAGAAATTCCACCTTTCTAGAGATATTTTATTTATTCAATTTTAAACTGCCCTCCCCCAGAAAACCGAGCTCAGGGCAGTATACAAGATAACAAATACAATATCATTAAACAAATTAAAACAGATAAAAACACAACGATGGCATCAGGGCTGTCCCCTTTCACCCCTTTTGTGTCTCTTGGCTATAGAACCACTAGCAATTATCAGGAACAACAGGGGGGGAGATATCCCGGGAAGGGACTTCCTTCCCACTTCTCTTCTGGCTGGGGCTCACCACAGCCAACAGAAAAAGGGGGAGGAGATCTCCGGGGAAAGGACTTCCCTCCCACCTTTCTGCTGACCACAGCAAGCAAGGTGGGGGGAACTGCAGCCAGAAAAAAGGTGGGGGTAAAGTTCCCCTAGGAAGGCATTTCACCCCTTCCATTTAAACCCTCCTTTCTGCTCCCCACAGTTTTTCATGAAGAGCAGAAAGCAGGGCCATTTAAACTCATTTTCTGCTCCCGTCAAAAAGCCACAGGGGGCAGCGGTGGGTTTAAATGGCTCCAAGGAAGAAGAGAAAGCAGGGGAACAAAAAACTGAACCCAAATAACTGAATTAAGAACCAGGAAGGTTAAATAAATACAATTCTGAGGGCCACTTCCTAAAAACAATAAATGTGAAACAAAAACATATATAGTGCAAAATTATCAAAAATACATGTATTTATTACAAGATAATTTAAAAACAGTTATGGACCCAACTATAGCCTCAATTTGTTAGTAATTTTCTCTCTCTTTCCTTTGCAACAGAATTCCTTTTTGGTCCTACACTGATTAACTATTTGTATTATTACTGCAGTATTGAGCCTAAGTGTACTTTCTATGCTTGACTACTGAAGAAGGCCAGTTAGGCTGAAATGCATGGGGTCGAATTAGGTTTCATTTGTGTACATTGTACGATTTTGTCTTTTATTGAGGCTATAGTTGGGTCCATAACTGTTTTTAAATTATCTTGTAATAAATACATGTATTTTTGATAATTTTGCACTATTTATATGTTTGTTTCACATTTATTGTTTTTAGGAAGTGGCCCTCAGAATTGTATTTATTTAATCTTCCTGGTTCTTAATTAAATGGTTCCAAGTCATTTAAATTCTGCTTGCTTCTCCCTCAAAAAGCCACGGGGAGCTGAAAGCAGGGCCAGTTTGGTGCAGTGGTTAAGTGTGTGGACTCTAATCTGGGAGAACCGGGTTTGATTCCCCACTCCTCCGCTTGCACCTGCTGATGTGACCTTGGGTCAGTCACAAGCTCTGGCACAGCTGTCCTTGAAAAAGAGCAGTTTGTGTCAGAGTTCTCTCAGCCCCACCCACCTCACAGGGTGTCTGTTGTGGGGAGGGGAAGGGAAAGGAGTTTGTAAGCCGCTCTGAGACACCTTTGGGTAGTGAGGGGCGGGATATAAATCCAATCTCTTCTTCTTCTTCTTCTTCTAAATGGCTCTGAGCCATTTAAACAAAAAAGCTAATTGGCAGGTAGCTCCCAGCTGTTCAGCTATTTCTCATGAAGACCCCCTGCTTTTCATGAACAGTCATGAGTCACCATGAATTGTGCCAAAAGTCGTGGTAGTTCATACCGGTCCTTCAGTTCACATACTTCATTTAGTGAACCCTGAACAGGTCCAAATTAATGACGAACTAGTTCGTCAGGCAATTCATGCCCATGTCTACAACAGAGGATAAGTGCCAGAGGTGTAATAGTTCCTCTGCAGATGTGTTCCATATTTTCTTGTCTTGCCCTAAGATTCAAACATTTCGGAAGATTGTGGTAAATTATGTTAATGAAAAGCTGGGTAGGGAAATACCTTTTGAACCAAAATTAATTATTCTGGGTTCTTTGAAAGGTTATATAGACGACTATATAGCACAATATATATAGTGAAATGCTGGCCTGGATGAATCACAAGCAGGAATTAAGATTGCTGGGGAAAAGATCAACAACCTCAGATATGCAGACGATACCACTCTAATGGCAGAAAGTGAAGAGGACCTAAAGAGCCTCTTGCCCAGGATAAAAGAGGAGAGCGCAAAAGTGGGCTTGAAGCTCAACATCCAAAAAACTAAGATCATGACATCTGGCCCCATCACTCCTTGGCAGATAGAAGGGGAAGTCGTGGAAGTAGTGACAGACTTCACGTTCCTGGGATCCAAGATCACCGGAGACTGTGACAGCAGCCATGAAATTAAAAGACGCCTGCTCCTTGGGAGGAAAGCGATGGCAAACCTAAACAGCATGATAAAAAGTAGAAACATCACCCTGCCAATAAACGTTCGCATGGTCAAAGCAATGGTATTCCCAGTAGTCATGTATGGCTGCGAGAGTTGGACTATAAGGAAGGCCGAGCGCCAAAGAATAGATTCTTTTGAACTATAGTGCTGGAGAAGACTCTTGAGAGACCCTTGGACTGCAAGAAGATCAAATCAGTCAATCCTAAAAGAAATCAACCCTGACTGTTCCCTGGAAGGCCAGAAAATGAAACTGAAGCTCAAATACTCTGGCCACCAAATGAGAAGGGAGCACTCAATGGAGAAGACCCTGAGGCTGGGAAAGATTGAAGGTCAAAGAAGACGGGGACGGCAAAGGATGAGATGGTTAGATAGTGTCATCGATGCAACGAACATGAAATTGAGCAAACTTCAGAGGACGGCGGAAGACAGGAGGGCCTGGCGAGATCTGGTCCATGGGGTCGCGAAGAGTCGGACTCAACTGTGCGACTGAACAACAACAGTGTAGCTGAATCAGATTTGGAATTGGTACTAAGTTTATTTACAGAACCAAGGATGGTTATTGCAAAAAACTGGAAAAAGCTAGAATCACCACCTATCAGTGAGTAGTTTAACAAGTTTTGGCTTATTGCACTATCAAAGGGCTAGTAGGTGTAACTCTATGGAACCTGATTTATTTACTAAATATTGGATATATATATGTATATGATAAGATATACTCATTTGCTTATTACAATTTCTTGTAAAAGTACAGGGGAATTTGTGTTGCGTGTGTGTGTTTATATATGTATGTATATACTGAGTGTATGCTTGTACTGAAATCACCATCATCACCATCCTCCAAGTTTGTTCTCATCAGAGAATCAGTGGAGTTTTACAAAGGATGGAACTTGTGCATTGGCATTTTCTGTCAGTTACCTACCGGTACACAGCTTTTGATATGCCTTTGTCATTACCATCAATAAGCACCCCATCTATGCACCTAAATATAAATGGATTGCCAATAGACTGGAAAAAGATGGGCTCATAGTTTTCATACACTGTACCTGTTAAAGAAAAAAAAGTCTTTTAGATTTAAACAGTAAGACATTTCTGAATGGTTTTTTTAAAAATCAGCAAAAAGGACAATACCAATTAATTTAATAAAGCTGAATAAAAACTTCTTATTTTACACCCAAAAGGCTGTAGTTACCTGTGGGTAGAGGACAGAGACGCTTAGTTCTTAAAGGAAGAGGCATT